TTATATATCATAAATATTATGACATGTTACATATTCTATACTGTTAATTATATATTATATTTATGTTGTGTATTGTTATATATAAATCTTCAAAAGAAAATGGTCTTCACTTTATCTCTTGATATTTAGCTATATTACCTGAAAGGTCTTAGGACTCAGATGAAGCCCCAGGTTAAAGCCAACTCCTCTGATTAAACCAGACCACTGAGATTAGCCCATGCAGTTTACATGGTACAGTTAGAGTCTCTGCAAAGTGAGTTTCTCAGTAATTGTGTAAAGTGTCCTGAGAAGGGAATGCAAGTGTTTGCAACTGGGCTTGTCTAGCTGTGCTTCTGGAGTCAGCCCAGGTCATGTTCTCTACCTGCTGTAGACTAAAGCAAACAAGGATGGCGGGAACCAGGAGGTCGAGATTGCCCGCTGCCATAAGGGGCAGTACTTTGGAGAGCTTGCACTGGTCACCAACAAACCCAGAGCTGCTTCAGCGTATGCAGTGGGAGATGTCAAATGCTTAGGTAAGAAAAATTCTTTATGCATTAATACTTGTTTTCTAACATGTGATATTTTTTTCTCATCAGCAAGCCTTGACTTATTCTACCAGTTCTGACTTCTAGGCTTGGACAGTTTTTGTGACCAACCAGAAATGGGTGAATATTTTAACAAACATTTCTGAGCACTGACTGTAGCTTGTGAGCAAGACAGGCATCCAGGCCCCCCAGGCATGTGAAAAGAGGAGTAATGGAGACAGGTATCCAGGTCTGTGTGGGAACAGAGAGAACAGGTGCTGCTGGACTCTGCAAAGTGTCACACTTAGGTGACACAGTCCTGCTGTGTTCACATAGAAACGTCTGTCCTTCGGATTCCCAGTATCCCAAAGTCTAATCTCCTATAATGTGAGTGTGTATATTTAAGAAAAGGTTTGCACGAGGGAAATGACTTTGGATTGCAGGTGTAGAGAATTCATTCTCTCCCTCATCTCTTTTAAATGTGCAGTTATGGATGTTCAGGCGTTCGAGAGGCTTCTGGGGCCCTGCATGGACATCATGAAGAGGAACATCTCCCACTACGAGGAACAGCTGGTGAAGATGTTCGGCTCCAACATGGATCTGATCGATCCTGGGCAGTAGGTGGGCCACACCCAGAGCCTTCTCGTGTGACACCAAAATCTTCCCGTCAGCCACAGAATACACCCAGAAAACAGACACGACAGAACTGTTCCTGCTGTTGCCACCTCTGCTGCCATTAATATGGCCATGGGCATTTAGAAAACTTGAAAGTCAGCACTAAAGGATGGGTAGAGGTTCAACCCGCTCCTCCACTTTGCTTCTGACAGCCCATTATTAAACCAATTGTAATGATTAGTCCAACCCAGTTTCACATCTTTGGTTCAAATGGCATGTCTCTCCAACAATTTAAGTGCCTGATACAGAGTCCAAAGTGTAAACATCTTCCTTTCCTCTCTTGCTGCTACTGTTGCTTTTGGAAGTTACCACAGGTCTGCGCAAACCTGTTGTATAACTGTAAACACCCTCCCCCAACCTTTCTCAAGGGAGGAAATCTAGCCTTCCATCTCCTCATTTGTCGTTTGAGAAAGTCCACATTTGTTCACAATTGTAGCCTTTGGTTTTACAGTGGGAAATGGTGGCAGATATGATGGAGGTCTGTGGTCCTGTGGCAGTGTACTGTCTGCTGAAAGCTGCACACATGACAGCTTTTTCCAAACTCACGGTGATGCTTAGGGAAAGGCCCTGCCCAGGGCCCAGCAGGTCAGCACCCCAAAGCACATTGATGTGTCATTGGGACCCATGTTAGAACAGAAAATTTGGGTTTGGCACATTATTCACATAGCAGAGAGCCAGGGGAAGGTTTTCTGGGTTGGGGGATTTTGTTTTGTTTTGTAAATTTTGTTTTGTCTTGTTTAATTTCTGTGCAGTTTGCATGAATGAATTGCTGTCCATTTTTAGGGAGCCAGGGTCGGGAGGTGCCATCACTTTATCTGATCCAAATACTTTCCTGGATATTTCCTACCACCTCTTGTTTCCAGTTGTCTCTACTGGCGAATGGCAGTGTGCCAGCAAGAGGTTGTTCTAAAATGAGAGAGAGCCTTTTTCTTCTACTCCAAAGTTACTACATAGCTTTGCTGTTCAACCATCCATTTTTAAACTCTTTAAAGAAGCAGCTGCTAATTTTTTGAAATTAAAAAAAAGATTTCTCTATTTAGGGAATTCCCTTGGACATATTCATGTATATCAGTTTGTCAGCTGATTAAGGCATTCATCCTAAAGATCAACTCTTTTGTTAGTTTTCAAAAATTGGCATGATTTACAATTTTATAGAATTACTGCAAAGACCTTTCTAATTAAGATGTTAGAATATTTGGGGTTTTAATTGTTAATCCCAGAGGAAAGTAATTTAGCTTGTATTTTAAAACTTTTTTAACCTTTTAATTATATCAGGTAGAATTCTGATGGATTATCCTAATTAACTAGATATATTTCAGAATTAAATTTTTTCTTCAGAATGACTTAGAATCAGATGTAACAAGAGATCCTAAGAGCAGTGTCAAATTTTGTAAAGGTAAATTTGAACATCATAGCCAAGTTTCTATTAAACCAAGAGGCCCTTTCCAATATGGTTTTTTTAACTTGTATAACTCAATAAATCTTTAAGCGATTACATGCTGGGGCTTGAGTCATTCCTATCGTGGATAATGATGGCGCCCACCTGGTCACCTTTCATCATCCACATAAGTCAGGCTCTGTTTTTGCCACAGGCAGTGTGTTCGAGAGATTTCCAGAGTGGTGAATTCTCACTGCCACCTTGGCCAGTTCTCCCTTTTTCTTGTGCTCTGTAAAGTGAAAGCAAAAGGATTCTTTTCAGACTGCCCTAGGTAGCCTGCATTGCAGCTCTCGAAAGTGTGGAAGGTTGTAACTACTACCCCAAGATAGGCAGCTAGCACTGGGAAAGCCCATGTGGTTTTTCCCACGATTTTTCAAGGTTCTTCTTTTCTGTGGTGTTGCTTTATTATCAAAAAAGTTAAGAAAGCAGATCTTACACTTCAGCTCACAAGAACCACACCAGTTTCTTGCAAAAGTAACGTGACATTGAGCTTTAGGAGTGACACAGAGGTCTAGCCTCAGACTATGTGAGGACTCTGTTTAACACGCGCTGAGCAGATGCCCCCTTTGCATTCCCCATGCCAGCATTAGTTAGGGCTGGCTGTGAACTCCATGCCATAGTCACTCCCGCAGGCTGCTAAGGGTAACCCTCTTCTTGCTTTCTTGCACATCCCAGTTCAGTCTCCGCCTTCACAGAAGCCTCTCTGATACTCCCAACTCATTGATGGCTCCTGTTTTACAGAGTAGAATTCATCAGGTTTAAGCCCTCCTGCTCTAATTACAGATTGACATATGGATGGTCAATCCTCACGACATACAAGGGCCCTGGCTTGAGGAAGGGAGACTTTAAAGGGACCAGTGTAAGTGAAATAGGACACAGCCATTAATTACCAGGTGCCAGGAGTCTGACAGTGTTCCAGTTCTCTTTGCAGCTTAGGGAATCAAAGGTGGTAGACAAGTTCAGCTAAGGGCTCTGGTGCCACATTGTGCCAGGCAAGCCCTGCTCTGACGGTTGAGCTTCATGGGGAGTGCATGCTGGGAAGAGATCCCTTCGGTAATCGTTTTATTTTTTTCTTCGGTAAGAGCTTCACACCCTCTTTTCTGGCTTTGCTATGGATTTGGGATGGTGGCGAATGTTCCTGAGAGCCTCGAGGTCCAACCTGCAGTATTATCCTTCCTTCTGGCCCCAGTTTATCACATCCACTGTGTTTTGGTTGTTTTCTCTGAAGGAAGGGTTCATGTGTTTGCCTCTCTTATTAGTCAACAGTCCTTACATATACTTGTGTTCTATATAATTGCGGTAGATTCTCAGAAAGCAGGTAGAGCTTTTCTTTGAGCAGTTTAATGAGCGAATTTGGCAGCAAGTGGCAAGAAATGGTTCTCCAGCCAGGAGAGGGCATGTCCTCCTCTTATCGCCCAGGTTCTCTGCTCCCAGTGGGTAGACTCTTCGTGAGCGGTGCTGCTGGCAGCCAGCAGCACCCTGGGCACACAGCATTTCCATGTCGTGTCACAGTGTACAAACAATTCTCTCTCTCGTTTAGGAAAATTGAAAGAGCCTTTTTGCACAGATTAAAAAGAAGACCCATGAATGTCATCTTTTATCTTTTGTTTTCAGTTGGCTGACGTCGGGGTTTTTGTTCTGGACATGCATTTGTAACCAGTCTTGCCAAGATACAAGTCATTTCGGTTTCTCACTACAATTACCTCTTGTTCCTCCTGTCTCGACTGCTGACGTTCCTCAGTGATTCCAGCGTCTGTTTTACGGGAAGCAGCCTTCCCGTGGGTTTCCTTTTACACACTGCAGGGCTATCTTTATACTTTAAAAAAAAAAAAATTTTTTTTTTTAAAGGAGAAAACTGTCACTAACCTCATGGGGGATTTGCAGAAAACCATTTAGCCCACCTTGAGCAAAAGGTATAGATTTCTCATTGTTTTCTTAAGCTCATTGTAATAAAAGAAATAATTAAGCATTATTGTGCTACCTCAAAGGTAAAAATGTTTTAAGGTCTTTTTTTGGTCCCGAGTTCTACACATAGTGTTTAAAATGTCTTTCAGTTGGAATTATTTTTAAATCATTGGGGAGAACCTTCTTTTAACCTGTTTTACACTTGTATTTTAATCTCAGAAGAATAAGTGATTGGAAAATGATTAATTCTTGCTCTGTACTATTGAACGTCTAATTAAATCATTGTTTGCCATAAACAAGGCTGGGTTTTTTAAAAGGAAACTCTAGGGCTCGGCTTCGCTCTTGGTTAATAAAGGCTGACAAACCACGTCTGACTTTCCGATGCAGCCTGTGTTACGTGTTTGTCCTCTCATTTCAGAGCTCCAGGCCATCATAGCACACTCAGCTGGCAGATACGTTCTTGGGATTGGGGTGTGAGCTCTGGGAAATTAGAGGAGGCCTGGGCATATGTATTAGGGTTCTCCAAAGAAATAGAACCAATACGGTGTGTGTGTGTGTGTGTGTGTGTGTGTGTGTGTGTGTATGTAAAGAGATTTATTATAAATTGACTCACGTGATTATGTAGGCAGCCAAGATCTGCAGGGTGAGTTGGCAAGCTATAGACCTGGGAGAACTAATGATTTAATTCCAGTCTGAGTCTGAAGGCCTAAGAACCAGAAGAACCTATAATGTAGCTCCTGTCCATAGGCCGACAGGCTCAAGATCCAGGAAGAGCCAGTCCCAATTTGAAGGTAGGCAGGAAAATTTTCTTACTTGGGAGAGAGTCAACCTTTTTGTTCTCTTCAGGCTTTCAACTGATTGGATAAAGCTTGCCCACGTCAAGAGAGCAACCTGCTTTACTCGGTCTATTGATTTAAATGTTGATAACAATCCAGAATCGCCCTTACGGAAACTCCCAAAACAATGTTTGACCAAATATCTTGGCACCCCGTGGCCCAGTCAAGTCAACACAAGATTAACTATCACAGCTTTGAGTGGTTGGGGATGGCGTGCAAGGGCATCGAATACATCGCTTGCCAGGGAAGGTATACTCCCAATGCCGCCCAGCAGAAATCATCTCTTATATAACAATATCACTTATATCATCTCCTGCTCTGTAACATGGCTACTAGACCTAGCAATAACTCTGTGACAGCCCACCGTATCTACAGTTTCTTTCCAAGTGACCAAAAAGCTAATTTTAAACAAAATCCTGTTCCAGTTCGACCTTGCCTTCACCTGCCATTACAAAAGGACCAAGTAGTGGGTAAAACCTACAGAATCCCCACGTGAGCCCAAGAAATGTGGTCGAACCCTCAAAGCCAAACTGGCTTTGTTTCAAAAATTAAATATGGTTTGGCCTTTGTGGTTTTGGTGGTGGTATTGCTATGAATCGTTAAGAAATGCCAGGACAGGTCAAGATTATATAGTCCACAGTCAGCCTAGAAGAGTGAACGTCACATAAGGACTTTGCTTTCTGTGTATTTTCTAATAGGAAGCTAGACACATGTCTATCAGAATTACCTCAGTATACCTTCAGCAACCTTAGTACATCAATTTTATAACAACAGAGTTAAAACAGTGTTACTTATAATGTGGTTAAGGAAATTGGGGTGGTTTCACAAGGCATCATATTAAGTATGAATTGTGCTTCCCTGCCCCGTCCTCCTCACAGACAAATGCCCCATCACAAATGATGCCCAGTGATAAATACTATCACCTGATTTGGGGACATGCAGATATAATACAGTGCGTCAACCAGGAACATACTGAATAATCAGTGGTGAGTTCAGATGAGTAATTGTCCAAGTTCTGAATTAGGATGTCAGAAATTAGGTCTGACTCAACTTATTTGTTCAGTGAACAAATCTTGATGACTTGCTGTGGACATTCCTGACAGTGTCTTTAAACCCCAGAAATTAGCAAGAATAATGATAACTGAGGTTGCCGGGGCAGTCCTAGACCTTTCCTCTGGTGCTGAAGAAGCTCATCCTCCTTATTTCTGGACTCACAGCAGTCCTCATATTTCAAGGATGATCATGCTCCCAATACTTGTTGTTGACCTCGGCCGTGGTACTTCTCCATCTGGGCTGCCATTGCCTCTTCATAAAGCGAGTGGTTCGAACACACAAGCATGCAGTGTCCCTCACTGCTCTAGATGGCATCACACAATTCTGGTTATAGAAGCATGGAGGGAGCTGTGAAAAGGGAAAGACTAGCTTTGAGATTTGAAGGAAGACTCCCTCCAGGAAGAGATGCCTCAGAAAGTGTCATCTTCGTGTTATTCATTCTCAACATGATGAAGGTTGGCCAGAGATGCCTTTCTGGCCTAAGTTGTGATAACATGTGCTAAGAATCAAATTTTTCTGAAAGTCTCTTTTGTTTGACATTTCTACCCCTTCCTCTGAGTTCTTCCCAGCCAGAATTCTTGAGCCTGTGGTCATTTCTATTCTATAAAACCAGTTATCTTGTTGGTCTTGAAGTACACAGAGTAGAGGACTCCCCAGCCCATGTGGAGACTATAGAGCTACAAAGACTGTAAAAGAGGTTGGCTGGGCTAGAGTGTGAAACCAGAGGGGGACTGGGAGCTACCCCAGACAGCAGGAAAGCCAGCAGGACCTGACCACCAATCAGTCCATCCTAACAGGTACAGGAATGGGCATTCTCACGCCATCTCTGGGGAAGGAGTCAAAACAGTACCAGCCAAAATCTCTGTGGCCTTCTTGGCCAGGGCCCACTCCTTCTTCTTCTGCAGAATCACACTGAGCAAAGGGTCAAAAGTCCCCGTGTATTCCGCTGGAAGCCAGGATCCAACAGTCTCCTTTTTGGCCAAGTCCTCCAACACCCAGAATGAGGAAGCAGGAGTATGCAGTTTTGGGGCGGGGGGAGGTTGTTGGTTTGTTTTGTTTTTTGTAAACATAGCTAAAGTCCAGACCCACCAGATAAGCAAACCAGCACTTTTCCAGCATAACATCCAAGCCTAGTTAAACCAGACATTTTCATTTTGAAAAGGAAAGGCCTGGGCATGAAGGGACGCCTGCAGTGCACACTCCTGTGCCTGTCGTGAGCCCATCCCAGGAAGCTGCAAGAGCAGGGGACCTGAAGCTGAAACAGGCATGCAGGGCAGGATGGAAGAGGACTTTGGGGCAGATATGCATCAGTCCCGGGCAAGTCAGAACAGCTTGAGCCACCTTGGACTCTGGTGTCCTATCCCAGAGCTGTGCAGCCAGCCACATCTGCAAGGTGAGATACAAGGCCACACACAAGTTCAGGGGCCCCCAGGAACTGGCCTGGACACCAGAGAAAGGGCTTTATCTGCTAAGCGGATGCAGCCCTGGCAGCTCTGGGAGCCAGAGTGCTTCCCCAACCAGGAATCAGTGGTGGGGAGGGGGGCTGGAAAGCACATGACCTCCAGATCCTGAACTCAGGGCTGACATTGTGGATGAATATAAACAAATACCCACATCTGCCCTACCTCAGAGTCTAAAACCATTCCCTGTGGCTGCAGCTCCTCTTGCCTGAGGTTAGGCAGACAAGGATGAGCTGGCCCTCATCCAGGGCCTCCTCTGTACAGAAGGAAGCAGGTTTATAGGAAGGCATATATACACACACACACACACACATACACACCGCTCCCCCTCCCCCCAGCACCCTGTGCCCTTGGCTTTGCCCACAGGCATTATCCCAGCATGATTCCAGCCCAGCCCCTCACCTGCCTGGGCTGAGTCAAGGCCCAACTACATACAATAGGTGTCTGGGGTCCAGTGGCTGTGTGCTCTCTCCCCTTCTGGACACTTTAAGCTGGGATCGCTGGCTCATGGCAAAAGCAGCCCCTACTCCCCGACAGAGCTGGCGTCACAACTGAAAACCAGGGGTGGGTTATCCTCATCCCTGATAAATGGGTAAAGCTAGTTTTACAACCTGAGGGCTAGCCTCACTAGAGGCCAAGTTTACAACATGCAGGCAAAGGCACTGAGCAGAGTGGGGACTGCTGAGGATAGAAGGGCTTTCCAGCACCTTGGGGATTTCCTGGAGCGCCCCCGGGTTCTTCACTGCCTGACCGTGCAGGGGCTGGGTGTGCGCGTCCAGGATGTGCTTCTAGCCGCCTCCCGCCTGGCCCTGCGGGATCCTGTTCTTGGTTAATTTTCCTGTCTTTTGTCCTGGAAAAAAAATCGTAGGAATCACTTGCAGTCAGCCCCTCCTTGCATGGCCGGCATCCCAGGACTGTGGGTGCAGAGGGCGGGAGTTGCTGGGGGGCATAGGGAGCCGCCCTGGCCCTGGTGGGAACACCATGTTCCCTAAGTGGAATGCACATCCAACTGTGTCCCACCCCCGAGGGGGCGCTGAGGGGTTAAGGCCAGCTCAGCTCTGTGGTTTAAGGAACAGATGGAAAGGGATGCAGAGAAGAGCCGGTTCCCAGACAACTGTATTGCGCACTCCCGCCCCCGGCCTGGCCAGGGCTGCGTGGGAGGGACAAAGTGCAGCAGGGGAGCAGCAGCTGTCCACGGGTCACCGTGATCTCCAGTGCAGAAGGGCCATTTGACCTCTTGGTCAAATTCTTGCCCCCTCCACCTTTGGACGACTTCTGCCCTGACCATTCCTGCCTGTGGCCTACTTACTTACATCCCTGAGGCCAGCTCTCTGCTCAGTACCTCCCTGCCATCCTTCCTCTGTGGCCCCTGGCCAGGGCTTGCTGCCTGGCACTCAGCCCTGTCCTCTGACCTCTTGGGACCCTGCCCCCCTCAGCAATGGCCTTGCCCTGTTTTTAGGGAGAAAACAGAAGTGATGGGTCAGAAGCACCGAGCACCTCCTCTGGCCCCACGTCATCCTGGAGCTCCTTTATTGTCCCCCCTTCACGGGCAGAAGCCTTGAGACTTTCCCGCAGTTGCCTCCTCACCTCCCATTCTGGCCGCCCCCGCAGTCCCGGGGGACTCCCACAAGCACAGCCAGTGGGGGCTCGGCCACTTCATCCTGATGGGCTTCTCCCTCCAGCTTTAGGGACCCCCTTCTCTTCTCAGGAACATCTAGGTCTCCTGTTTTCTTTCCACCTCGGTCTCCAGCTTTAAGGAAACCCGTTAAATGT